AAGGGGTGGTTCATGGGCAGTTGTTAGCAATAAATGTCTGTGGCTACACCACTACAGCTGTTATACCGTTAGAGCTGGTATAATATCTCTGCAGAGATAAGGTTCCCATAGCTTAGCTGCATGCTTTCCCTCCTATATCTGATGCTATCATTCAGCTGAAGTACTATCTGCCTCCAAGCATGTGTACAGAAAGAGGCTTTTTGTGTTTTAAAACTCAGTTGCTTAAATATAGCAGAAAACTTGCCTTGCTCCTCCCATGATGCTGAGGAGCGACAGGCTGTCCCATGCCGTGCCCCCTTGCCACGGGAGTCAGAAGCAACATCTTCCTGTCAGATCCCTCGCTCTGGTGTGTGAGACTTTTAGCTCTTTGCACAGAAGTGACTTCTAAACCCAACTTCCTGAGAAACTGTATTGTATAACATCAAGGTTGTGTACAAAAGTGTGTTTTATCAGTGCATTTTTGTTTCCTGTGTTAGCAGAAGAAGGTTGACATGGAAACTCAGATGCTGCCTTCTCACTGGTGGCATCTCTCTGCTAATTTATATATTCTGCTGTCATTTGCCTTGGCATGATTCAATGCATATCTGGCCCCAGGAGGAAAGACTTAAAGGTGAAGCTACAATATTTGTTTGGTATGTGATTGGACAAGTCATGGGCAAACACACTTCAAACATTCTGAGTAATGTAAAATCACACCTCTACAGATGGTAAGAAAGATGATTACAAATTGTATATTGGTCTACAAGCTAGAAAATACAGCTGTACATCTATAGGAAAGAGAAGCGCTACAGGTTCAGGTTGGAAACCATTCATTTTGCTAAGGCAATAGGTGTTTGCTATTCCCCACTCCTCTCTCAGCTTGGCTGAGGGCTCCTGTAAATTAAAAAAAAAAAAAAGAGGTTTCTATAGAAGAATGACTGTTTACCAGGAAAACACAAATGAACAGTTTTGAATTAGAGCAATCTCATAAGACAGCCTTTACCGAGGCTTACATGGTTTGCAGCCTGGTTGTAGCCAGATCCGATCCAGAGACTTGGAGCTGGGCCAGAGTTCATTTTCCCTCAAAGATCACTGTTGAGTATTGTTTGCAGTAGGTGATTTTCTGCATCCTATTTTACTAGACAGAAGCTGGTAAGTAATCTCCAATTTGCCAGCGAGGTATGTTTCATTTCTTCAATTTCTAAAGTATCTGCCAAAAAGGTTGTTAAAAACCTTACAATCTATACAGCTGCTGGCAGAATGTGACCTAGGAGGACGTAGCGGGCACGGCTTTCAGTTGTCATAGTGAAACGGTCATATTGTTAACTGTTATAACCAACTGCTGCTACAAAACATCACACTAGGAAGCATGGGTAGGGCTAAAGGTTATTTATTTGAATGCAGGTAACATTTGGAGTGCTACAGGTCGTGGCAGGGGACCGGCGAGACCAGTGGTTACGCAGTGTCCTAAGCCCCAGGACACTGGAGGGCTGATCCAACCACCCCGCCTGGAGCGCTGGAGCCTTTCCCCACTCTGTAAGATCCGCCTGTCACACGTCTCTGTGCAAATTCACCAGTCTATGAACTGCAGCCCTGTTTTGTAGATGTTTTTTTCCCTGAGTAGCTGTCATGCCAGGCTGGACAACAGTTGTTTGCTACTTACACAGATTTAAACCAGTTTTGGGGATGCTGGTTCGTGGTACCCATCATCAGTCAGATTTTCCTGGGAATTCCCTTAGGAATCACTCCAGCGCTGCTGCACTATCACACATCTGGGACTCAGATGAGCTGGAGAGCCCCAGCAGCCCAGCGAAGCACCAGCCTCAAAGGCCTGAGGCCAGGAGTGCCCCATATCTACCACGGACAAGCTATCTGCAATTGTTTATTTATCTTTTACTCACTGGGGATTAAGAAGCCTTTAGTTTCCAGGAATAAGCCCTATCCAGGAAACACTTGCAGTGAGCTCTGCTTTGCATCAAAGCTGTCTTCCCTATAGGTATTAAAGGTATTCATTTATTAAAGGCATTAATTTATACTAGTTTTTGGTTGATTTACTTATCTTTTATTCTGGGTGGGTCAAGTTTGCTTTGTTCAGGGCTTTAGCATGAACCTTTCCTTGCACTCTTTGTCATAACCTTGTCTCCCTTTTTTCTTTTTGCTGCTCAGCTATAAGCAAATTCAGAGAACATACATATATATATTTTTTTTCCAGAAATAAATTCTCTTTATTTTAAAATTCAGACATATGTGCTTCATACCAAAACAGATGCCAAAAGGGACTTAATATTCATCTCTGGTTTTAAGAAAAACTGTGGTTTTCAGGGCTATGTAACCAGACACAGTGATTTTAATGAATCTTTACAACTTTATGTCTCCCTGCTGATACTCAAGATAGACAGTTTTGCAGGCACTTCAGCAATCTTTCTGTCAATGGCTTCTCTCAACAGAATCCAAGAAATTTCAGAGATTTCCAGGGGTTAAAAAAACAAAGAAAGAAGGAACGATGGTGTCTTTACAGTGTCATGTTAAATATGGCAAGCTCTCTAGCGCTCTACCGATTTTCTGCCATGTGCATTTCTTCTCCCTTGTCTCCACACCACCTCCATTTCCGACAGCTCTCCCATTGCCACAGCACTGATTGCCCTCCTAAGGTTCATCCACTGCCAACCTCTGCTTCGTAGTAAGAAAGACCTGTATAATTTTCAGATTCTTGAATATGAAGAGTCTTTAGTAAGAGTCATTCAGACCTAATTTCACAGGAACACTGTTTTTCAGCCAAATGCTTTGATTACTTTTCCTCAGTCTTTCTGCAGCCACAGTCTGTGGTGGCACATGAAGCCATGCTTATACTAGCCTTCTGTTATTCACTTCTTTCTCTGCTACTGTGTGGTCCTTCCCACAGTAAATGCAAATGGCCTTTGTCAGAAATGGGTACTGTCATCTCCCAGTTAAGCAAGTCTGAATATGTATTTCTGGTGGTGAGCTTTGTGTTCAGGTTGTCCTTAGAATATGTCACCCTTCCATTAAAGAAAATACTGCTTCTCAACCAAGAAGCCAAGAACCAAGGACTTACTTAGATGATTTTCACTCTTATTCTCATTAATTCAATTTTAATCAATTTTCTTAAAAAACAAAAAAAACCAAAACAACCCAACCAACCAAGAAAAAAATTCCCAGCCTACAAATATCAGTTCCAAATTCAAGACAACAAGTGTGAGGCTACATAATAATATTCGCAGAGGATTACTTGATTCAGGTTAGAATTTCAAATGATACTGTAATCAGGGATCTGAGATTTTAATCTGGATATCTCTCTAATAATACAAATCATATCTTTGTCACAAACCAGATTTGCTGCTCAAGACATCAATGCTAATTAAAAAAATTTCACAATAGACTCAAGTATTACTTATTGTTACCTTCTTAAGTCAAGCATTTTCAGCCTATAGTTTTTGAGGAGGGGAATGGCACTTCCATTTCCCTTCCTCACCCACCTTCTCCTTGTAAGGAAAGTATTTTTCAGTTTTTTCCTCATTTGTTTTATATTTCCCTTTCAAAAAATGATGCTTAATGTTAAATTGGCAATGTTGTACATATTACTTGTAAGTATACTAGACCACAAGAATGTAAAAATAACATCCTATGTAAAGGTAGGAAAAAAAATACAGAAACAAAAGCTGATATCTCTGAAATGAGATGGAACGGTGTCTGTGCCTGATTCTCACATAAAATATTTTAACTGCTGAAC